AGGTACTTGTACTCGTCTATACCAACCCCGTGCGGGAGCGGCTTGCGAGCTACGGGCATAACGCCGCAGAGCAGGTGCACTTACTGTAAGTCGAGGCCTGAAACGAAGCACCGCCCTATGCAAAGTTCGTGACGAGCCGCCTCAACATGAAATTAGCGAAAGGGTAGCGAATGGTAGCGAATGGTAGCGGGGGAGGCGTTCATCTGCACAACTTCCGCGACAGGTATGGCGGCGTCTACGACAAATACCTCTTGGGTTTTGGGATCCAAGGAAGTTTTAGGAGCAAAAATAGAAGCACAGATAGTTGCAAGGACGGGGGCAACGGGTTAGCGAAAGGAAAACCGGCGTATCCTCTTGACTTACCAACTGTCTACAGCTAGAATACGAGAATTTTCTTTGTCGTGACAGTTTGAGGTAGGCTTTCCCGAGCGTCTCATCATCTACTCCGGCTGTACGGTTATTTCTGTTAGAACTCCATGCTGTTCTAGACCTCGTTACACTTGAATCCATTACCAACAGACACAGTCCCTGTCTTGGAACTTGTCTTGGAACTAGGTGTTCTCTCACATTTACTCGCCTCCTGTCTTAGGGTTTCTGTTGGTATCTTAGAAAGGTATCTCAGTAGTCATTGTGGTAAAGACTGTGTCCATAAGGCACGTAATCAAATATCGGCAATCTTCTAGGGGGCCGTATTAAGGGACATGTGGCTGATTAAAGGCTTAGACTTAATACATGTTGGTATCATGAATGATATGTTGATACATTTAGACCCTATACCACCTGTAACAAAATCAGCATTAAACGCAAACCTCTTGGATGGCATCACAACCAAGTGCTTATTGAATAGGATATCCATTCACACCAGTTGTCCTTTCATGAAAATCCTTCCATCTAATATTCCTTACCTTATTATCATGGGCGTAAGAGGGCCTCATGATTAGGAGGGAGTGTGGCCCATATTCTACTTTTATTAGTCGCTTTCCTAGCCCCAGGAATATCATACCTTGAGGCTGAAATTTTGGGGGCGTGGTCGTGATCCAGTACTATGTCGTCAAAATGGAGGTCAGCCGGACCCAAGATAGGGGCTATCGGCTCGTGGGGTACGTTGCAATGATTACCAGAGTCCAATTTTGCACTTAAGGCCCCTGCTTTCTAACATCAGCGAGGCAACGAGGCTGTACATAACGGACAGTTCCATTGAATGTAAAAACCAAGCTGGTCTCCAGCCCCCTAATAGATGTTAGCCTGTTACTAAGGAATGGTAGAAGCAATGTTGGAAGATATCCCGAGAATATCTAGATAAGCTTGAGTTTCATTTTTACTCTCCACCTTGAAACAAACTAGAGCGGCAAAGGGAAAGCTTGAGGCGTCTCGGAGTAGTATTTACTATGTGACTAAGAATATATCGTTGGCATCTATTGGCATGGAAGACTTGATGCGTATTGAATAAGGAGTATGCGCACAAGACTATTGTGGCTAGTCTCTGTAGGTCATATGAATATTAGAAGTATAGTAGTTTAAAACTATATTGGGGAGCAACTACAAAGGGAGATATGAAAACCTGGTTAATTATAGAGAAGTTAGGTATAAAGTTATATTATTGTTACTTTCAATATAAACTCTCTTAATAGGAGCTAGTGACTATAGTGTTAGATAATTGAATAAGAGAGTTAATACTTACTGCCTGGTTCGTGTCATGTACACTTTTATGAATAGAAAGTATACTAATACATTAGAGGTTATTTATACTTGATAAATATATTTGTTGTCATTTGTTGTTAGAATTTGTTAGTATACTTATGCGTATCTTCGTAATTAATTAAGAAACGTAAACATAATGAGTTATTGATGGAAGGTGTTGTGCGAAATCACCTGGGTAAACTCGCTGGTAGTGCTAAAGTCAGTAGTTGTACTAATTACCGATCGAATTGTAGTCAACTATTGTAACAAGCACGGCCAGTAAATAGCCGGAATACAGATCTTTAGGCTTGCCTAAGGCTACACGTGGAAAAGTGTCTAGTAATTAACTATGGCATTACCTTCAAAGTTATCGTAGGCTACACTATCACCTAGTATAGTTTGAGGGTTTATAGGGAAGCTTAGCTTTGAATTATTGGGTAGGTATCGTTGTGCGACTGAAATGTTACGATTTTGTGTCACTTTCACCTTGTGTTATTTACTCAGTTGAACTCGGACTTCTATTGTAGTTACCTTAGTTCTGAACCCTCAACTTTAGATAAAATCGAGGACAGACGTGATACCAGCACTTACAAATTCAAATGCCTCTACCTGACAGATCTGCGGGCCACACACTCATTCTGATGATATCAGACACGATAAAATCGCAGTGCCAAAGTGTTTAACGTGCCCCGTCCACGGACATAGGTCATTAAAAAGGTTTTCTAGCTATCGTGACAGTTGGGCGAACCCTCAGCACCGCTCCAATAGACTCATCAGCTTCCTCCGCCCCTTTAGGAATGATGGCTCTCCAGCTTTTTCCAACTTCGTCCTCTGGTCCATACCAATGCAAACTCAGCTCTTCGGCCAAACAAAAATCCAAATGCGTCCAGGCTTTTAACATTTCGGGATTCGGTTCATGGGAGGATTGGGCTGCCTCTTGAAATCCTTCCTCGAGCAAGGTTTCGGGAAGCTTCGCGACCCAGCTTGAACCCTCCGTGTTAGCATTGCATATCCCTCCTGTAATGAGAGGATGTAAAGCCATACCTCCAATTGGCAAGGTCTTTCGGCTTTTGAAATGTAGCCGTCATGTTTGGCGCCTTGCTCTCTGGGCTCGGGACTAATACGTCGTAGTGATTAAACAGATCCACTGTGATAATCGGAATTAGCTATCGCGGTTTTAACCAGGATTCATCAATGTTCCTTAGGTGGGTTTTATACGTGATCCAACCTGAACAGCAACTCTATGCCTGAAAAGGGGCTAAAACTGGAAGAGAATGGCGCACACTCATCCCATTGTAAGAAGCCGCCAGGTTCTATTAATTCGTCAGTTGACTTTCTCTCCGACATCGATCACTAAATAGTATGGGAGATACAGACTGAGGAGTGTCTTGATATGCTGGATGATAGGCTTCGGACTGTTGCTACGGACTAATGATAGAACTAGACGTATGTGCACAACATCGAATAGTCCGTGAAACGGTCGTGGGGGCTCCTCAAGTAGGTTTGAAGTTGATAGAACTATGCTATTTGGTAGCCAAGACTTGTGCGGAAACAGGGCTCTGCTGATATCGAAGCCGTGGTACTGGATGTTTAGGCCGCTAACTTCTGGCGACTTAATCAGGTCAAAAAGCCATATTCTATGACTTCGCGTTAGTGGCCCTATAACGCAGCTCTAAAGACCGACGCTACTTGCCCTGTCCCGGTGGCCAAGTCGGCGACAGATATCGATTCCTTGTTTTCGTTTTGCCCTGATTCTTGCCTCCGGCGTAGAGCAGACTGCACCGTCGGGTGTAATAAGAAGCCCTGGGCGTCTTTCCACATAAAGTGTTGCAGATTCAACCTGAAGGTTCGTTAGCAAGGCTTATCTGCATCCGTGGGTTGTGCTTTAATCTCAGTACCTTGACGCGGACAGATATGAGCGTCCTAGTCGGTACCCATCTGAGTTCTCAGAGATGGGGTCGGCCATGCTGACTCGACCTTCGTAGTAATTCCGTCGATTAAGGGTAAAATCTCTTTCATTGACGCATCAAAGCTTGCCTTATGTAGTAAAACTTAGGGACTACAACACTCCCTTGGTCATTAATTACAAACCGGGGCTTGAGGTGACCTAACGATACTAGGGCTAGTTGTGTTGCATTTGCACTTTATGCATAAGTTCCTATTGGTTCTTGTAGGGTCCCATAAAGATGTAGCAATTGCGTGTGTAATGGGGCTAATATTGATAAATAATGCCTTCGTATGGGGAATTAGATCGTGGTCCTCTAGTTTGGGCCTGAGTCAAGTTTGCCTAGCTTATATATGCTAGAGTTCGCTCTTCTTGTAACTTTACGAAAGCTTCATATAGCTTGATTACCTGTTCTACGTGTTGTGTTGCCGATTTTCCTATACTCCTACTCGCCGTATCGAAAGATTCACCTACAGGCATCTCCGCACTGCAGGCGGGGTTCATGTAGGTGTTATGCACGAACGTAATGGCCAGGCCGTTCGTACCTATGAGAATATCAATGCCAAGGTCTAGTGACCGGAAATGTTTCATTTCATCGTATTACGATATTAGGAAGGCCGTAACAGGAGGGGGGGAGAGGAGGGGATATGCGCTGCTTCACATTCTACGATGACTAACTGTCATGGACCATATGCTTGTGGTAAGTAACAGACCATTGTTGTTGTGCAAAGGTCATTGAGATCACCTTCAGCACTAGTCTCTGCGGCGAAATAAGCTGCGTCTCGAATTACTTAGCCATGATATGTATCTATCATAGAGACGATTAAATATAATTAATGAGGTGTTTATTGTCCAGGTGGCGAGCTGACGTTTTCCACATCCCCACTGTTGTGGTGAGATTGTACTGTGACAGAAGGAACCCGCGTTAGTGAGGTTGACCTACCTCAGCAGACTGGTAGTAACACAACAACATGTTCAGCCTTTCTGGCCTGTGCCAGGGCTCAATAATGAGGTCACACACTTGAAAAGCCAAAGAAATACTAACGTTCGTGGTATCTCAAAGAAAATCCATAGTAGTGATAAGACTAGAAAGGGGACCAAACTGCCTACCCTGGCTCTGTTTGCCAACCCACTCTTTTAAGCCACCTATTTCCTAGCCACTTTCCAACGCCACAGTAGACAGCTCTCTCGCCTCTTTCATCAAACTTCATTTTTCCTAGTACGGACCACAAGCCTATTAATACAAGATCGATCTCCTCCAAATCAATCACCTGCCTAAATGATTTCAATATGTCCCCACTATGGAAGTGGAAAACATTGACTATACAGAGCTTATTCAGTGCTTATACGGATTGAGGAAAAAAAAAAGATCTTTTGTGGACAACGAGGTTCGAACTCGTGCGGGTTGCCCCAACAGGGATATTTTCTTAAACCCTTGGAGATTGTTAGCCTAAAACCTAGAGAGAGAGCAAGGGAATTTCTTACTGTCGCCATAACCACTCGGCCATATCCACCAAAACGGCTTTAGAGCCCTGGGGCTCGTTGGAGACACCGACAAAAAAAAGCATCTATGTTTGAGCCACTGAGCGGACTTTTTTTGCTTATCCTAGAGTGTGATACAGCAGTCAAGCTCAAAATTATTTATATTATCTACTGTCTATTGTTTATTATTACGGACTGAACCTTGTGCACATGCTTAGCTACAAAGGATTTTCTTCCCTATCTATCTCACACGTACCTCAACTAGGAGGAGCCTTGCTTCTATAAAGGACGCCAAACGTAATGACTTTCTCGCGTTTATTTGCCTCAATTCAAGAGCTCCCGAGACCTCATACCGGCCAGCATTGAGTCATCCAACGCGAGCGCTTGTAGGTTGCTTCCCATCCGAGGGTATCACGGGCCTTTAGGTACGAATGGCAATGTATGGGTAGGTCCTGAATACTTGTTGACGCACGAGGAACCCTAACTACTACTTCCAATAGCTGGACATCTATATACAAACAGACTCTTTGCTCTGTACCTTGGAGGCGTGGGTATGTGGTCGTAGGTAGTCAAGATCGTGACAGAGGGGCGCTAGCATAATCACCGACTCCATCACTTTCTCTTAGATATTATCGGGGGTATAATGCCCATTTTGGCATAATTCCATGATCTTCTCGTATCCTTCCGTCTTTTTGCAATACTCCACAAATCTGCGGGGGGTTCTTGCGAGTTCGAGCTCGCTTTTCCGGTAGAAAAATATATCGACAAAAAAATTGGCACGAAATACGGCCTGGTCACCGAAGGTTTTAAGAATGTGAACAAACGGCGCCCCCTTGCTATTTTTGCCGATTATTCGGAAACTAAAGCAACCACCTATATCGTCTTTGGTAGCTGTCCTTACCCATCTATCAGAATATAATATACCCTCGCCACAAGGTTCGACTGAAATGTGAACCTTTCCGTCCCCAACATCTAGATCATTAAGGAGTGTTAAGTAAAGCGACCAAACGCAAACATGCCTTAGGTTGCCCTCCGTGCGCTTCTCTCGGACCGAATGTTCGTACAACTTCCCTCGAAAAACTAGTTTCCCTTCCCTCCAGGCGCGAGAAGTCGAGTCGAATACACTCTGTTTTTGACGTTCTTCGTCACCCATCGAAGTGGATGACTGCTCTGTTGGATTGGTTTCACAGCCATCACCGTCGTATAATTCGTCGTCCGTATCGCGAATTACGCTAATATCAAGACGTTCTTTCTCTGCTTGTCGTGCTATGTGAAAGCGCGGCCAGTAGGCGATCTGCGGGTCCTTCGATCGCGGTATCAACACCCATCCTTCCAGACGTTGTTCCTCAGAATGGGGTCGTCCTCGTAGCAAAGGGGATGCAACATTCAAACCCCACCCCAAGGAATAGTCTCTTTTGACACGCCCTTCAACCTTTGGCGATAGACCGCCGTGGTGCGAAGCGAAGACCCGGCAAAAAAGTGATTGGAGTATGTTAAATTGAACTGCAAGCTGCTCATTCCATTCGGCGTTAGGTGGGGCAGACCAGAGTGATAAGTAATTCGCGACTCGTTGGCCATTTCCAAGCCAGAGAATATAGCGATGAAGATTGGAGTAGCTCCCGCGCAAGAATGCCTGACAATGCCCGTGAAGAAAGCGCTGTTCGAGTTCTTTAGATTGCCCTACGTATATCCGGAAATATCTGTTATCGCGTTTGTCCGTAATGACGTTGGTGTAGCCCCCAGAGCGAGGCCATGGAGAGGACTGGCGTGAACCGATTTCAATAAGACGTTGTAGATCAATAGTTCCTCCTGAGAGATCTCGAATTTCCGATGGCACCATATCCATAAGAGTGTCCACCACCCGCTTCAAACTGCGACGAGTCCATATATACCTCATGTAGTACCGACTAACATCCTCAGGCACCACTCTGTCTCTTACAATATCAAGGAGAAGAGTGCGGCATTCCCGCCTAAGATTTGGTATATCGATACTATAAGTTCGAGGGACGACCTAGAAAACCTTTAAGAATCAAACTAAAGGGTAATCAAGAATGTTTAACTTACATTACACAAATCCCCATCCAGGTGCCCGTACAAATCGTCGTCGTGTGGAGCTGTATACACGGAGAGCAAGAACGGGAGAGGCCTATTCGATATCAACGTCTCGTCTCGTTCGTTATCGCCGACGGCGCCCTCGGTAGATGTCATGCTATAGGCCGGGGTCTCGGGATTATCTATGCTATAGAACCGAGTCTCGCGTCGAAATCGGGTAGGACTCTAGGTTGATTTGAATTGATTGTGTGCTGATGATTCTGAATGGGAGTTCTAGGAAGGATGAAGTGAAATCGTTGTAGAGAGATACAGGGACAAGGCTGAGTAGCAGATCTCAATAACTGCTGGGTAGGATGGGAGGACCTAATTGATGGTTGGGTTATGTAGTGCGCAAACAATGCCTTACATTGAATGTAAGCCACGATTCTCCATTGGCTAAGTACTCTGAAATCCCATGCTCTCAACTGCCAAGCGTGCCTTCCTAAAGTGTGGAGGCCCAGGCCACAACAACTGTCGTTGTTAATAGAAGTTGTTAAAAAGTACCGGGCTGAGGAAATCCTGTTAGCTTGCTATTCCTTCTTAGTAGATGTTAAACGTACTGACCTGACCTATATTACCAGGAGAACATATCTACACTGATTTGATCGGGTCGAGCCTTTCGGAGCCCGGCTACACGAGGTTTCGGCTTTTTTGCAGACATTCAGAATAATTACACGAGATTTTGAGAAGCTTTGGATGAGGGCAGGCAAGAAGCTGGAAGTCAAGAATAGGCGGCAAGGTCTCTAGGGCCAGTTTAGGTCACAACAAGGGTAAAATATAAGGGCGCCGAGTAGACCTCTTGGGATGACCAAGTAGTATCACCAAGACCCTTGAAGCCATAGTGATTTCTTTAATCAATTGAATCCCAGATCCTAAGCCCTTGTATAAGCCTTTGTCATATTAGACAATAAAGATCCATAAACTATTTTCTTTGTCTTGTGTTTTATCATGATAGCATCGTCAACGAAGATTTTAAATTATTGAATTAACGTCGCGGTTCAACGATAAAGTGCCAACAATACTACGTGCTACTGTTGGTGTTATCCGTATTAGGTAGGGACTAGAGTATAAAAAGGTAGGGTTGAAGGGTTGCTGACTCTTCGGGTTATGGATCGAAGAGAACTGCTTGGCTTCTTATATGATTTGGAATGGAGAATTCGTAGTTTCGATGGATAGGTTTGGTCGCTCCTGCGAGTATTCAGGGTGGGAAGGTACGGGGCACAGTGTATATCAAGGACCTCTTGCGGTTACTACCGCGTCTTTTTTCCATTACCTATTCCTGCGATATCATCCCGTTGTAGTCCGTACCGTAGCGCGCCAGCCCGTTTTTTTTTTCTCGGTGAATTTGATACTGGGGACCTACCAAATCTCCTATGATGTATAAGAAACTATTGACGCAGGTTTTCTAAGCAACGATAATTGGCCATGGCTTGACCGCACGGCGGACTTGTAAGGCGATGACAATGTTTATATCAGGCTTCTTGCTGCCTTCACATTGGAAGATTAAGGCTTAGTATTAACTTACCAATCTACCCCGTTAGCTTTCGTTAAGAGACGTATCTCTGGTGGGTGGGTAGGTTATAGATATAGTAGTCTCTAGTTACGCGATTTATGAACTCATTCATTGCTTCCCCTATGACCCCAACTATAGAAATTGTGCTAAGTAGGCGGGTAATCTGTTCCTGTATACGGGCCGCTGAGGTTTAATGTTAGCTATGGTTGTGGTTGAGAACATACGGTGGATTCTTTGCTTGGGTGAGTTGGTAGATAATAGGTACACAGTAGTAAAAATATAAACATTTATGAGATATCATGAAGTATAGACACTATGAATCTATTGTGACATAAACGGTTGATAAAATAGCATTTTTGAATTATAATGACCCTGTCGGTGGAATTGGCTCTAGAGTGAAGATAGGTTACAATAGGATAGTAGTCAAGTAGCGGCTTAATTGAAGTATAGGAGTAGGGCTCAGTATATTTGATTGCTGAGCCATTTCTCAAGCATGAGGGAGGGCTCCTCTCCTTATATAATAGTTGCCCTGTGGTGTGGCCACCCTAAAGGGGCCGGGTGTTCTGCCTGCAACCTAGTTGCCTGACGGATGCTGTTACTTACGGGTGCGGTCAACGATGTTCCATGTATCTACGAACCGACTAAGTGTTATTGATCGGTATCAAGGTTGAGTGTATTTTTTTTTTCTGGACACGTCCTCCGGCCCGTGATATCTAGGTTCCACGCCGAAGGTGTCGGAGGTCTCGGCGTCGGGTAGTCAGTCATTGCAGAGCTGGCATTATCCGGCTCAAGTCTAAATTGAATTGCCTCGCATTGAAAGCTTGCCCGCTTGATTTATCGCCGACCCGAATCTCTGTGCGAGCATGCATGAGCTCTCGCCTCAATCAAGTTTGGCGAATTTGGGGGCGGCGATGTATCCTGGCTTTCCGAAGCATTTTCTTGGGTCGCAATGCTGTTGTCTGACTAACAGCAATTTGCGAAGTGCGCGCGCCTTGATTTGGCTGTGCATATGTAGAGTACCTAGGTAGGTAGGTATCTTAACCATGAACCTTCACGTGAAAATGACGTGGCAAGGGAGCGAAGGGCATTCGACCGGATTTAGGCGGCGCCGAGACAAGAGACCGCACCTAATGAATGAATGCCCTTCGGATGTAAAATCGAGGCGTTAGGGGGAAAGCCCTTCGGGTCCTGCCAATCTGTTGCACGCAAAAAGCGCGCACGAGATGGGTACCTAGCTAGAACCACAACATGTTAGGCATGGTATCTAAGACATGCATAGGCACAGATTTTGCCCAACAAGGTCGACCGTAGCTAGCTAGGGTAGCGACGCTACAATAGTAAGATGTTGCGTCCCGTGCGTTGGTGCTTATGATTTGCCCCGAGGTGGGCTGCTCGCTCGTTGATCGTGATGCAGTTTGCAAAATCCGC